CGGGCAGCGGCAGCGTAGGGGCAGCGACGGCGCACGGGCAGCGGCGGCGCACAGGCAGCGGCGGCGCTCGGGAGGCAGCGGTGCGCAAGCAGCAGCGGAAGCAGCGGCGTACGAGCGGCTGCGGGCAGCGGGGCGTGCGCGAGCAGGCGACGGGCGGCTGCGGGGCGTGCGCGAGTAGGCGACGGGCGGCTGCGGGCGGGCGGCCGCTGCGACGGCGGGCTGCGGGCCTGCGGGGCGTGCGCGAGCAGGCGACGGGCGGCTGCGGGGCGTGCGCGAGCAGGCGACGAGCGGCTGCGGGGCGTGCGCGAGCAGGCGACGGGCGGCTGCGGGGCGTGCGCGAGCAGGCGACGGGCGGCTGCGGGGCGTGCGCGAGCAGGCGACGGGCGGCTGCGGGGCGTGCGCGAGTAGGCGACGGGCCGCGCGCGAGGGAAATAAGGCGCGCGCGGGCAGCAGGCGGGGCGCACGTATGAAAACGACCGCGCGCGAGCGGCTAAGGGGCGGCGCGACGGGGCCTTAAGGGGCGGGTCGCGGGTCGCGGGATGTAGGGGCCGTAAAAAAAAATTCGAGGCGCCCTAGGTAGGTAGGTAGGTAGGTAGGTAGGGAACGGTGGGCCCTTAAAAAACGGTCCTAGCGAAGGACCTGCTCTGAAACCATGTCAACGAGAGCAAACTGGAATGATGGACTAGCAAGGATTGTGAGTACAAATATAAAACCCTAATGTTGTGACCCCCCTATAGGCTAACCCACTACAGCCTACACAAATACAACATGTATAATGTTTGACAGAGCTGCCCCACGTCTTGCCTGCGCTGCGCCGCCCGTGCGCGCCCTGCCTTGCCTGTGTTGCGCCGCCCGCGCGCGCCCTGCCTAGCCTCCGAGACGTGCTGTGCTGCGCGCGCCGTCCTGCAGCCTTCGCGCTGCCTGCTGCTGCCCCGCGTCGCGCTGCCCCGCGCACGCCCTGCCCTGCCCCGCGTTGCGCTGCCCCGCGCACGCCCTGCCCTGCCCTGCGCCAGCGCCCTGCCCTGCGCTAGCGCCCTGCCCTGCGCCGGCGCCCTGCCCTGCGCCAGCGCCCTGCCCTGCGCCAGCGCCCTGCCCTGCGCCAGCGCCCTGCCCTGCGCCGGCGCCCTGCCCTGCGCCGGCGCCCTGCCCTGCGCCAGCGCCCTGCCCTGCGCCAGCGCCCTGCGCCAGCGCCCTGCCCTACGCCCGCGCTGCTGCCCTGCGCGTCGCACCCTACGGCAGCCCGCGCGTCGCGTGCTGCGGCCCCGCGCGTCGCGCCCTACGGCAGCCCGCGCGTCGCGCGCTGCTGCCCCGCGCGTCGCGCCCTACGGCAGCCCGCGCGTCGCGCGCTGCTGGCCCGCGCGTCGCGCCCTACGGCAGCCCGCGCGTCGCACGCTACTGCCCCGCGCGTCGCGCTCTGCTGCAGCCCGCGCGTCGCGCCCTGCTGCCCTGCGCGTCATGCCCTGCTGCAGCACGCGCGTCGCGCCCTGCTGCCCTACACAGCGCGCGCCCTGCTACCCGCGCAGCCCAGGCCGAGCCGAGCCGCCCTACCCGACCCGATCCGCCCTCCTGCTCGTGCTACTACTGCTGCTGGTGGAGGTGCTGCTAGGAGTGCTAGAGGTGCTGCAGCCTAGCCTCACCGGGCCGCTCTACTGCTCTTACTGCTGTTGCTGCTGCTCGTGCGCCTCCTCGCTTACCCGCTATGACTTCCCTTCGTAGTACAGACTTGCACTCGTCCTGACCTTGCGTACCCTCTTGGCCTTTTGGCCCGCTACGTGGCTCCTGGTCGGCACCGAAAGGTGCACTGGGAGGCTGCTAAGAGGGTGCTGCGCTACTTGTGCAGTACATCAGGCATGGGGCTGGTGCTTGGAGGACGGGGTGACGTTGTCCTCACTGGACACTCAGACACCTCTTGGGTTGACGACCTGGCTACACAGCGGTCGTCACAGGGTTACACCTTCAGTCTTGGTTCCGGCTCTGTCTTGGCGGTCCACTCGCTCTTCTTCTGTTCTCAGCTCCAGTTGTGAGGCTGAGATCTACGCCACAGCCATGGCTGCACAGGAGCTACGCTGGCTCATCTACCTGCTGACTGACTTGGGAGAGCGGCCTCGTTCTCCTCCAGTTCTGTACGGCGACAACAAGGCGGCCCTCGCCTTGTGTCAGGAGCACAGACTGGAGCACAGAACGAAGCACCTCGCACTGCGTTACTTTCTTGCTCGAGAGCTACAGCAGCGTGGCCAGCTTCGTCTTGCTTACGTGGACACGCGGGCCAACACTGCTGATGTGTTCACCAAGGCACTTCCGCCTTGTGACCATCCGCGCTTTTGCACAGCGTTAGGCCTGGTGCCTGTGTTTGCTCACTTGCTTACCTCTTGACTTTTTTTTGTACTGTGATCTATATTATATACCTGCATGCCTACTCCTGCTAGGTAGTGATCACTGTACTGTTGTTGTTGCATATATACCTCTGCATGCGAACTGGCCTTGTGGCCCTTTGTTTGTGCTCAGTGTGTGTGGTGACGTTGTGATCCACCCTGGGCTTGCTTGCTTTTCTTGACTGGTCTTGTGACCCCTTGTTCTCCCCCACTTTGCCTACAAGGGTGTGTCAAACTATATATGTGTTAGTTCTGTGTAGGCTCTAGTGGGGTAGCCCATATGGGGTACAACCCAATGTTAGGGTTAGTACTTGTACCCACAAACTCTTTAATGCAATCATTCTTGCTCGTTGATTATGACATCCCGGTGTGTGCACCTCGGGCGTCCCAGCGCGGGGGGGTGTCAGAGGTCCACTGGTGATCCCCGATCGATCCTAGGGAAGGGTTACAGGCATGTCGGCCTGGGGGGTTATGGGCGCACTCACCCGCTACACAAACAAGCCCTTTTATCCCAGTGGTTAGTGACTTGGATTCTGACACTTAGGGTTGCATACTTGTATCTCCCTGCTGCTAGTCACCACACATTCTCGCTTAGTTTCTTGACATGGTATTCGGAGCAGGTTCCTCCGTAGGACCGCTCCGTTAGGGCCCACCAACCGTACATACTGCCCCAGGAGCTGCTGCCGTCGCGCGCTGCCCTGCTCGCCGCGCGCGCCCCCTACCCTGCCCAGTACGCCGTCACGCTGCTGCCCTGCCCCGCGTTGCCTACTCGCACTACCCTGCTCGCCGCGCACTGCCCTGCTCGCCGCACGCTGCCCTGCTCGCCGCGCGCTGCCCAGCTCGCCGCGCGCTGCCCTGCTCGCCGCTCGCTGCCCTGCTCGCCGCGCGCGACCTGCTCCACGCACGCGCGCAGCTTGCGCCCTGCCCGCACGCGCGCTGCCCACACGCACTCTGCCCGCACGCGCGCTGCCTACGCGCGCCCTGCCCGCACGCGTGCTGCCCACGCGTGCTCTGCCCGCACGCGCGCTGCCTACGTGCGCCCTGCCCGCACGCGCGCTGCCTACGTGCGCCTTGCCCTGCAGCCCGCGCGCTGCCCTCCCCTGCTGCTCTGCGCCGCCCGCGATCGCCTGCCCTGTGCTCCGCCGGCGACCTGCGAGCTGCCCGCGCTAACCGTATTAGAAACTAGCAGGAAAATGGAATGAACTAGAAACGATTGGGATACAAGTATGAAACCCTAGAATGTTGTACCCCATATAAGCTACCCCACTACAGCCTACAAATAACACACAGCATAATATAGTTTAACACACCCCCATAGGCAAAGTGGGGGAGAACCAGTGGTCACAAGACCAGTCAAGAAAAGCAAAGCAAGCTCAGGGTGAATTATAACGTCACCACACACTCCGAGCAGAAGCAGATGGCCACAAGGCCAGTTCACATGCAGAGTTATATAAAACAAAGCAAACAGTACAGTGATCACAACCTAGCAAGTGAAAGCATGCAGGTATATATATAGATCACAGTACAAGCAAGGTGACACAGTGAGCAAGTGAGCAAACGTAGGCACAAGGCCTAAAGCAGTACACAGACGCTGATGATCACCAGGCGGAAGTGCCTTGGTGAATATATCAGCTGTGTGTAAGCAAGGCGAAGCTGGCCATGCTGCTGCAAATTTCGAGCCAGGAAGTAGCGCAGAGCGATGTGCTTCGTTCTGTGCTCCAGTCTGTGCTCCTGACACAAGGCAATAGCAGCCTTGTTGTCTACATACAGAACTGGAGGAGAACTAGGCCGCTCTCCCAAGTCAGTCAACAGGTAGGTGAGCCAGCGTAACTCCTGTGCAGCCATGGCTCCTACGTAGATCTCAGCCTCACAACTGGAGCTGAGAACAGAAGAAGAGCGGGTAGACCGCCAAGAAACAGAGCCGGAACCAAGGCTGAAGGTGTAACCCTGAGACGACCGCTGTGTAGCCAGGTCGTCAACCCAAGAGGCGTCTGAGTGTCCAGTGAGGACAACTCGACCCTGTCCTCCAAGCACCAGCCCCATGCCTGATGTATTGCACAAGTAGCGCAGCACCCTCTTAGCAGCCTCCTAGTGCTCTTGCCTATGTCTCCCAGGTGCAACGTAGCGAGCCAGGATGCTAAGAGGGTACGCAAGGTCAGGTCGAGTGCAGATCATCAGGTACATGAGGCAACCCACAAGCTCTGGATACGAGCCACTCGGCTCTACGGACTCGTACGAAGGTGGAGCTGAGAGCGAGTGACCGGTAGGCAGAGGAGTGGACTGTGGTGAGAAGAACTGGAAGCCGAAGCGCTGAAGGACCTGCTACACCATGTGTGACTGAGTCAGGGTGATGGTGCGGCGTGCTCTGTCTCGGGTGATCTGCAAGTCAAGGTAACTGCGCAGCTCATTGAGGTCTGTGCACGTGTGTCTCTTCTGTAGCTCCGACTTCACAAGGGCCAGTGCCTTGGTGTAAGCAGTGGCAAAAACCAAGTCGTTGACGTACACGAGGATGTAGAACGGCGGAAGCGAAGTGTCTTTGCACAAAAACAGTGACGGGTCAGCAGTCGAAGGAGCAAACCCAAGAGCCGCAAGTGTCGTCCTCAGTGTGTCGTGCCACTCACGAGGCGCCTAGCGGAGACCGTAGACTGGCCGCCGGAGGCTCCACTGGGTACCAGCAGGAAACGACCCAGTGAAGCTAGGAGGGCGGCGCAGCCAGATCTCCTCGTGCAGGCTGCCCTGTAAGAACGCTGTGCTGAAGTCAAGAGAGTGAAGCTCGTAGTCACGCTGAGCGGCAACGTGCAGCAGCACCCGAAGAGTGGTCATCTTCGGGGTAGGGGAGAAGGTCTGGAAGAAGTCAACTCTCTGTCGCTGACTGAAGCCTCGAGCAACGTAACGAGCCTTGAAGACAGGCGGAGAACCCGACGGCCGCTTCACCCTGAAAATCCACATGCCATCGACTATGTTCGCCCCAGGAGGGGGAACCTCGTCGACGTAAGTGCCTATGGACTTCCAGGATGCCATCTCTGCGTCCATGGCTGTGTGCCACTGAGAGGAGTAAGGACCCGTGATCACCTCTGCGTAAGAGCGCGGGGTCGGGATGTCCAGTGCATCCGGGTCTCCCTCAGGTGCAAGCAGCCAGGCCATGAGATGAGGTACAGCAGCCGCAAGACAGTCAAAGTTCTGCAGCCTGTCCTCAAGGATGTCCGTGCCAAGAGCACACTCACCCCCGACGGACGGAGGACAGACAGACTCAGACTCAGCAACAAGGCTAGTGGCGTAGTCTAGACGACACGCAGCAGCAAAGTCCACAAGACCAGCAACTATGGCAGACGCAGTAGTAGACTCAAACGACGGGTCAGTAACGACAGTAGCGAGGAGACGCGTGACAGTGGGGCTGGCAGCACGAATCAAGTCAGACGCAGGGTCCGGAACGTCAAGAAGAGAGGACGCAGGAGGAGACGGCAGAGGGACACGCTGCGGAACAGAGGAAGGACGAAGTGCCATAGTGTGAGTACCTGGCACAGGAGGAGGACGCGGACGAGGAACACGACGAGCACGGCGAACAGTGCGAACAGGGGAGGCAGGACGAGACGCAGGTTCACGACGTTCTGTGAGGGAGACCGGCTGCTCAGTGTAACGAGGCGGGGCAGGCAGCGGTGAGTCCGGAGGAAGGGCAGTGGACGAAGGAAGACTAAGAGCTTGATGGAGCACCGACTCGGGCGGAAGCTCGGACAGCTTTGGCGGCGGCAAGAAAAACGGTCGCTGCTGCACAGTGCCCCCGGTACCAGTACCTCCAGCTCCAGGGCCTCCAGCGCCAGCAACCACAGCACCTCCAGCTCCAGCGCCTCCAGTGCCTCCAGTGCTAGCGTCTCCAGGTCTAGTGGCTCCAGCTCCAGCGCCACCAGCGTCATCGCCTCCAGCTCCAGCGCCTCCAGCGCCAGCGCCTCCAGCTCCAGTACCTCCAGGTGCAGCGTCTCCAGCTCCTCCAGAGTCAGCGCCTCCAGCGGCTCCAGCGCCAGTGCCACCAGCTCCAGGGCATCCAACTCCAGCGCCTCCAGCCCCAGCGCCTCCAGCTCTAGTACCTCCCGCTGCAGCGTCTCCAGCTCCTCTAGAGTCAGCGCCTCCAGCCGCTCCAGCGCCAGCGCCACCAGCTCCAGGGCCTCCAGCTCTAGCGACGAGACTCCTAAGGTGTAGGGGTGCGCCGAGCAAACCACTCGCGCAGCTGCTGAGGGGAGAGAGGCTCTCGCTGGCCAGACCGCTGCGGCGAGGCACTCTGAAGACCTCCAGCAAACGCAGCACCACCAGGCACAGGACTCCCAGACTCAGCACCAGCAAGCTCAGCACCCCCAGACGCAGCACCCCTAGGCTCAGCACCCCCGGCCGCAGCACCCCTAGGCCCAGCATCCCCAGGCTCCGCACCCCCAGGCTCAACACCCTTAGGCTCCGCACCCGCAGGCTCAGCACCCCCAGGCTCCACACGCTCAGGCTCAGCACCCCTAGACACAGCACTGCTAGCGGCTCTACTCTGAAGGCGGGTGCGCCGAGCGTACCACTCACGCAGCTGCTGTGGTGAGAGAGGCTCCCGTAGTGTAGACGCAGCACCCCGAGGCAGGCCCAGCACCCCCAGACTCAGCACCCCCAGGCTCCGCACGCTCAGGCTCAGCACCCCCAGGCTCCGCACCTCTAGCAGCACCAGAGTCGCTAGTGACCTCGACAGGCTCAGGCAAGGGAGGCGGGTCTACCTGAGACACACCTGAAGGAGCAGGACCGTGAGGAGGGAGGGGGTCTACCGGAGGGGGACCTGGAGCGAGGAAGAGCGGCGGGGGGGGGGAGAGGGGCAGTGCGGTAGGGGAAGAGACGGTAAAAGGGAACCGACTCGTCAAACGTGACGTCCTGAGAGGGGAAGACGCGGCGCGAGGTGGGGTGGTAAAATTGCCAGCCAAGCGCGTCAAGGGGAAAGCCAAGGAAGACGCAGGGGACGGTGTGAGAGGAGAGCTTGTCCGTGGTGGTATCGCGGACGCGGACCCGGAACCGTGACGCATCACCAACCTCCCCCGTCCAACGCAGTGTAGGCGAGGTCTCCGGCAAGGAGACACGGGGCCAGAGGTTGAGCTGATGCGCCGCGTACCGGACCGCAAACGGCCACAAAAAATGGGGAGCAACCGCATGGATCATGGAGGTACGAGCGACCTCCATGACTAAGCCAATGCGGCGCTCTGCAACCCCAATGTGTTGCGGGGAGGCCGGAAGCGTGAACGACTGGAGGATGCCCTCCCCCTAACAAAAGTTCCTCAAGAGGTCGTACGAGAACTCATCACCTCTGTCAGAGTGCAGACGCAGGACAGGAAGGTCCGTGAGGAACCGCTCGCGCAACGGGAGACGAACAGCTCGGATCCAAGGGATCAAGACATCAGGGACCTCCGCCTTGTTGTGCAAGGGGAAGACTGAGGTGTAACGCGAGTAGTCGTCAACAACCAGCAGAAAGTACCACTCGCTTTCTCGTGGCCCTGTCCACGGACGCGGGCTGGGCCCCACACGTCCATGTGGAGAGTCAGCAAGGGAGCAGTCGGGGGGAACGAGGAGGAGTGAGGAGCGGCGCGTTGCCGCCCCTCGACGCAAGGAATGCAGGGCGGGGCAGGCAAGGGTGGGAGGGGAGGAAGAGTCCTGGGAAGACCGGAGAGAAGGAGGCGGGAGTGCATGCCATGGAGGCGTGGCAGGGAGGGGTGACCAAGGCGATGGTGCCAAAAAAAAATCTGGTGCGACAGGAGGCGACACTCGCAGGGGGCTGCTACCTGACCTGACGCAGACAGCTGAGCAGCGACCTGAGGCGGCGCAGTAGTCAGTGTGTACAGACTCGACCCAGGCCGACGTGTGAACGTGGCCAGGTGACGGCCAGTCCGGGAGCACGTACAGATCGCCACACGCTGTCGTCTAGGGGTAAAGGTATCAACCTCCGCATCCTAGAGGACTGTAGTGTTCACCAAGTTTGTCGAGAACGAGGGGAGGTGGAGACCTGACAGTGAGCCGGACGGAACTGCCGGTCACGGGAGCACAGTGGAGGAACGTGCAAGAACCGGGCCCCCAGAAGGGTCAGCCAGGGAAACTGTAACGGGTCTAATGAGTGGTGTGATTGTGGTACTGTCTCGAAAGAAGCAGCGAGAAGTACCTGAATCAAGCGTGAAGGTGTGCAAGGCCTCAGCAGGCGCAGTACCAGAGCGAGCAGACTCACTAGCACCTATAGCTGCAGCCTCTATACCTGGGTCAGGCGGCACACACAAGTAACAGTCACCCTCAGCACTAACAGTCAAAGCATACATGCCAGCAAGGATAGCATCATAGTCAAGAGCAAAGATATCAACACCAGACCTTAGCAGCTTTGCCCAGCAGGGCATCTCAGCCTCCTCGCCAAACTCAGTGCGCCAAGCGTCGTCTAGGCGGGAGAAGCAGCGGTGCTGGGTGTGAAACTTCCCGCACGTCTGACCAGCGCGGTCACCTGTGCGAATGACATACGGGCAGCGAGCACTACCCCCAGACGCCCCACGCTGAGCAAACCACTCACGAAGCTGCTAGGGCGTGAGGGTCTCACGTGGGCGCTACTGCTGCTGCCGCTGAACCGTGTCGACCACCTCTACCGCCGCCGCCACCACTCCCTCCGCTGCCACCACCGCCGCCACCACCCCGACCACCGCCATGACCACCACCACCGCCACCCCCACCGTTGCCGCCACCGCCGCCACCGACTCCTCCACTCCCGCCACCACTCCCACCACCACCGCCTCCACCTCCACCGCCTCCACTGCCTTCACCACCACCCTCCCTGCTGCCACCCCCACCACTCTTGCCTCCCTTGCCCTTGCCGCTGCGGCGCTTCCTAATAGGAGTAGAAGCAGCACCGACCTCCTCAGCACCAAGGAAGTCGACAGCAGCAGCAGAAGCAACAGAGGGGGCAAGGGGGGAGGGGGAGCACCCCTCAAAGAAGGGCGTGCGAGGAGTGCCACGAGTAGCACCTACAGTGACTGCACTAGTCTCAGCTGCAAGGAGGTGCTCCTCGAGCAGGTCGATAGTGAGCTTGGTGGGGTTAAGGGCGAGAAAGTGGTCCCTGACTGCGCGAAGAGAGTCAGGGAGGCGGGTGACTACAAAGTCGAGAGTGATGTAAATCGGGGGCTCGTTCTTGGGGACGAACTCGGCTGGGAGGGCAGCGCGGTAGCGAGCGTCGCTAGTGCGAAGGTGGGTAATGAGGTCCGTTATGGTGGCAGGAGGACAGCTCGGGAAACAGGTAGGGCAGTATAAGGCGGCCGAGAGCTGCAGTGGCAGGGGAAGAGTAGCGGGCGACTACAGCGTCGTACAGGGCTTTGGCAGTTTTAGGCTGGTCAAAGTGAGCGCGTTCGGCTATCGGCAGGTGGTTGCGAACGGCTAAGCGAGCGGCAGCGTCACGAGTAAGCCACTGTGAGCGAGTCGTACTGTCAGTTGTGTCAGGAGGGGCAGGACAGGCTCCAGACGCGAGGTCAAACAGTGAGACATTGTCTTTCGAATCACTCAGCAGGTACAGCTGTAGGTCCTGAAGCCAAGTCTCAAACTTGATAGGACGGCCCTCAGGATCGAACTTGAGAACACTGAGAGTGGCATAATGTAGCTGCGCAGGGTGGCGCGTAGGGCAGGGCAGGGCAGTGCGCGGGCAGAACTGTGAGCACACGGGCTGCAAGAGGCTGCGCGTGGGCAGGCAAAGGCGGCACGCGGGCTGTAGAGGGACGATGCGCAGGCAGGTAGGAGCGGCGCGCTGCAAGCAAGGCGGCGCACGGGTCTGCACAGGGCAGCGCGTGGGCAGGCAGAGGCGGCGCGCGACTGGCAGGACAGCGCGCGGGCAGAAAAAGGCCGCGCGCTGTCACTTAGGGCTGCGCGCGGGCTGAGCAGGGAGTGTGCGGGGCCGCGCGACGCGGGGGAACGGCAGGCACGGGCGACGCGACGGTGGGCAGGGCGTGCGCGGGCCGCGCGACGGGCAGGGCAGGGCAGGGTAGACGCGAGCTGCGCGACGCGGGCAGGGCGCGTGCGGGCCGCGCGACGGGCAGGGCAGGGCGGATGCGGGCTGCGCAACGCGGGCAGGGCGTGCACGGGCTGTGCGACGGGCAGGGCAGCGCGTGCGTGGAGTGGCGCGACTCAGGGCTGGGCGCGCGCGGGCAGCGCGACGCGAGGAAGAGGCGTGCACGGGTGGGGCGCGACGCAGGCAGGGCGTGTGCAGGCAGCGCGACACAGGCAGGGCATAGCGAGCGCGGGCAGCACTACGCGGGGCAGGGCAGGGCAAGGTAGCTCAATGGGTGGGGCAGCGCTACGGGCAGGGTACTATCGGGTGGGCCCTAACGAGAACAGTCCTGGAGCAGGACCTGCTCTGATACCATGTTAGAAACTAGCAGGAAAATGGAATGAACTAGAAACAGTTGGGATACAAATAGAAACCCTAGAATGTGTTGTACCCCATGTAAGCTACCCCACTACAGCCTACAAACGACATACAACATAATAGTTTAACATACCGCGCACCGCCCTGCGCGCACCTGCCCTGCCCGCACGCGTGAGCCCTGCCCCGTGCGCCTGCCCTGCTCCGCGCTGTTGCCCTGCACGCGCGGCTGCCCTGCCCTGCTCCGCGCTGTTGCCCTGCACGCGCGGCTGCCCTGCCCTGCTCCGCGCTGTTGCCCTGCACGCGCGGCTGCCCTGCCCTGCTCCGCGCTGTTGCCCTGCATGCGCGGCTGCCCTGCCCTGCTCCGCACTGTTGCCCTGCACGCGCGGCTGCCCTGCCCTGCTCCGCGCTGTTGCCCTGCACGTGCGGCTGCCCTGCCCTGCTCCGCGCTGTTGCCCTGCACGCGCGGCTGCCCTGCCCTGCTCCGCGCTGTTTCCCTGCACGCGCGGCTGCCCTGCCCTGCTCCGCGCTGTTGCCCTGCACGCGCGGCTGCCCTGCCCTGCACGCGCGGCTGCCCTGCCTTGCCCGCAAGCGTGAGCTCTGCCCCGTGCGCCTGCCCTGCTCCGCTCTGTTGCCCTGCACGCGCGACTGCCGCCTTTGCTGCTGCTGCTGCTGCTGCTGCTGCCGCTACTGCTATAGGTGCTGTTACCGCTGCTATGGCGACTCCCACTGTGCTTACATTTGATGCTAAGGGCCACCCGATACAGTTTGAGTCCTGGCTAGAGGGTATGCATCAGTACCTCCAGAGTGTCACCCGGGACAACGTCTCCCTGTTCGAACACACGTCGGGGTCCCTTCCGGCCGCAGAGGCTCCTGCTGAGCCTGCTGCAGATGCTGGAGAGGAGGTGCGGACGCAGCACCGCGCGGCTCACGTTGACTACAAGCGATGGATGGCGCGTGACGCCGCCGCCCAATTTGCGGTCCGCGCTCACCTTTCGCTCGACCAGAGAGCCAACTTTCGTCAGGTGCCGTCGGCCCATGCTTGCTATACCGCTGTGGTTAGCCGCTACTCCTCCCCCTCCTCCTGCCACCCTAGGCCGTCTTGCGCTGCCGCTTACATTCGCTGCGCCGTCAGTCCTCGCCACTGTAGCTGACGAGGGTGGTCGTAGTGGAGTTGGCGAGAGTGGCGGGGGTGGGCAGTAGCATTTAACGTCTACGTGTGTAGCTGCTTGTGCGTCTACTAGCACAAGTGCGGTTCCTGCGGAGGCGTTGCTCTTGGTCCCTGTCACACTGACCGACCCCACCTCCGGACTAGTCTCTGCGCACCCCTCTACTGTTCTCTCGTGCCTCGTAGTCCCCTCTGACTCCGCTGGCTCGACTGAGGGGGGTGACCCTGCTGCTGCCGATGCAGCTACATGTCGCCGCTCGTCACGCTTGGAGACACCTCCGGGTTTTCCGCCTCGGACGTCTTCGTCTCCTCTACAGCCTGTCGCTGTGGACTTCGGGGGCCCTGGTGCTGTTGGGGGTGGTGACGCTGAGGGTGCTGGTTCTGGGGGTGCTGGTTCTAGGGGTGTTGACTCTGGGGGTGCTAGGGGTCTTCTTGTTGGTGGACTTGGAGATACTGGTACTGGAGGCGCTGGGTCTAGGGGTGCGTTGCAGTCGCTGCCGCGGCGGCCTATCTTCTTGGAGCAGCCGTTGTCGTCGCTACCTGAGCCGGCGCCCACTTGTACTACTCCTCCTCTTTTGGTTCCGCCGCCTGACCTGTCTCGGCCACTGTTGCCGCCTGACTCCCTTTTGCCTGCTCCTGCTAGATACTCCCCGTTGCCCGTCTCCCTGACTGGGCCTCGGGTGCCTGTGTCTTGTGCCGCCTCCCCTGCTACCTCTCGTGTTACTCGAGAGCCTGTTGTCCTGCCGTTACCTCCCCCGTCGTCACTTTCTGCCGTTCCTGGCCCTGTGTCTGCACTTGCTCGTGTCGCTCGCCCGACTTTTTCTTGTTGTCTAGCCGTGCTTATGACTGCACCTGCTGCTTCGACTGTTGCTGCTTCTGCCTTAGTCAATGAGCTCGCTGGCTTTGCCGCTACTTGCTGCCGTGCCTACCTTGCTGGTCTCGTTTCTGTCTCTTCTTGTCCTCCGACCGTCGGGGGTGGGTTTGCCCTTGGCTGTGACGTTCTTGAGGACAGGCAGTTCGAGCTGGAGTACCTGACGTACCCTCTCAGCATCCGGACTCGCTACGGTGCGTCCGTGAGACACCACCCTGCGCACTGGCGGGCTGCTAGGAGGGTGCTGCGCTACCTGGTCAGACTCGCGAGCAGAACGTAGCACCTCTTCGTTCCTTTGCCGTGCGAGTGTTGCAGCAGCGTTCCGAGCTTCGCCTTTCGTACGTGGCCATACCGGCCAACACTGATTGTGTCTTGATCTTGCCTGTACGTGGCCATACCGGCCAACACTGATTGTGTCTTGATCTTGCCTTGTACTTTGATACATAAACATGCATGTCTCTTGTTGCTAGGTTGTAATCATTCTTCTGCTTGTTCAATTATAAAACTGCATGTGAACTGGCCTTGTGGCCGCTTGCTTGTGCTCATAATGCGTTGTGGTGATCTTGAGATCCACCCTGAGCTTTGCTTTGCTTTGTTCTCTTGCTTGACTGGTCTTGTGACCGTTCGTTGTTCTTGCTATCCCCCACTTTGCCTATGGGGGTGTGCCAAACTATGTTTCTATGTTTGTAGGCTGTAGTGGGGTAGCCAATATAGGGTACAACCCCTTTAGGGTTGCATACTTGTATCTCCCTGCTGCTAGTCACAACACATTCTCGCTTAGTTTCTTGACAATGACACCATCGGGAATGTCTCTAGATTATCTTTAAATTTGGTACGTTCCTACCGTGCAACCTTTCTTACAACATTGCGTCACAGCCCCTCATCTGAAGCCATGGTCTGTTTGTAATTCCAAATACGCGAAGGGCGGTACTATACCGTATGTGGCCCTTGTGAGGAACCCCCTTGTGAGGCACTGAGTGGAATGAATGCATATCAAAGCATCTCTGCTGCTGTACAGTGAAGGACAACTGGCAATCGAAGTCACTGCCTTTCAGCTTCTAACATACGGTAGCATTTGTAAAACTTTCTGAACACATTTGCCATACAGAATTGTAAGCACAAGCCCACTAACAATAACCCACCCACATGGCTACGTTGTGTGCAGTACAATACAGTCATGATAAGCAAAACAACCCACAAAGCAAAGCCCACCTAAATCACTAGCAGATAGACAACAACACAGCGTGAACCCTTGCAGCAGCATTTCTGCTCCTTGAAAGGCGGCAGGCAATGAAGGCAAGATGGTGAGCACGCTGGGGTCGAGAATGCAAGTGGTGCTGGCCGTGCCTGACCCATCAGCCTCGTGGCTGGTGCTCCTCAAGCAGCTGCACCAACAAGGGGGGAGAAAGCCATCAGCACAACAATCAGCTTAATGTGTTTGCCGTTGATGGAGAGCGTTGATGGATGGGGAGGGAGATTTCCTTTTGCAAATGCAGGAACTCCGGTGGCATGACATGTGGCATGTGATGTGGTGATTTGCACATTTCTGTACGGGGTGGGGAGAATGAACCACGGCTCACCGTGCTTGGCGATTCGACCAACCCCTCATTTGCGCCTCTCGGATCTGGGGCTGGCAAGGGATCCGGGGCTGGCACGTGTAGTGAGAGAGGGAGGGGAGGAGGGGAGCAGGGGAGGGAGGAGGAAAAGAGTGAGAGCACAAGGAGAGAAAAAGGAGGAGGGAGAAGCAGCCGACGGAGGGGATTTAAGGGAAAGGGAGAGAGGGAGGAAGGAGGAGGGGAGGGACATGAGGAGAGGGAAGACGAAGACAATTCTTGCATTTTGAAACGCACAGAGAAGGAAAAAGGTGAATCGGAAGAGAATGACCAGGGAGAGGGCGGGAAGGAAGAGAGGGGTGAGAAGGAATGGGAGGATGAGAAGGGAGAGGGAGAGAAGGAAGAGGGAGAGGAGCGAGTGGGTTTAGGCTCACCCATGGGGGGTGGACAGGAGTGGAATGGAACAAATAGGCAAGTTAGGGAGGGACAAATACAGCCGACCCACCGGGAGTTGATACCACCCCAGAGACCTGAGCAAGGCGCCACAATGGGGAAGACGCCATGACGCTAGGCATCCACCTCCCATGTGGCTCCAGTCTCACACATGCACACTCAGGGCTGCCTCCGTCACTACGCTCTCACTCTCGCCAAGCAGCACTCACCGCGGCACTGCTTCTCCTTGGCATCGTAGACTTGAGACCCAGGGCACACACAATGGTCCTGGCCGTCCCTCATAATGCACCTAGCATCTGACCCACAGTCAATGTCGCAACCTGAGAGAAGCATGGGGCGTTTGAGGAGGCAGGGAGGCGCGACGAAGCGGGAACAAGGGAGAAAAATGAGACAGCGAGGTTCACAGTTCAAATCGACAACTCAAGTCGAATTAGTCAGCAACTATCCTGCAGCAATTGATAGCAGGGATGGCAGAATGGAGTGCGCGCAAGAAAGGCAGCAAGGGAGTGACATTTGCACGATGGACTAGCGAGTGGCAGATAGGAAGTGAGCGCGGTGCCAGTGGTGCAATCTTACCCTCCTCGCATCTCACTGACGCTGGCAAGTCGGCGGCAGGGAGAGTCCTGAGAGCAGCAGCAGCAGGGGCATGGAGGGGACAGGTGGAGCACAGGCGACGATCAAAGTGAGACACGTGGAAGGAGGAGAGGGGCGCACATTCGCACCCACTTAACCGAACCAACTTCGCAGCTGCATCCAACCAAAGTCTGGCCCAACAGCGTGGGAGGAAAATGTGAGCGTTTTAGGGCAGATGCGAGCTCACCACTCAGTGGTGTAAAAGTCGTCAATTCCTTCAGGGCGCAGGTACGTCACGTTGGGACCTCCCCCACAGCCCGGCGTGGAGTGGAAGGAGATGCTGCTGCACCTGGTTTTAGCACCAAGGTAGTTACGCCACCATATCTTGGCTTTGATCTGGCTTCCAGCCTCGAACAAGCTCCGATCCACGTCCTCGCACACACAGCTGTGGTCAAACAACTCTGCCGATTGCTCTCCTGCGCTTGGGTCTCCGAACGTCACAATCGAATTGCATATAGGCTGGGAAGAAGAAGAATCTTCTGTTGGCGGTGCATCGACGCCCTTGGAGGAGCTGGTGGCTGCGAGGAGCAAGGAGATGCCACCGAGGGTGAGACACAAGAGGGAAAGATGCGAGAGGGTGAGACGCGAGAGGGTGAGACGCAAGAGGGTGAGAGGCAAGAGGGTGAGAGGCAAGAGGGTGAGAGGCAAGAGGGTGAGAGGCAAGAGGGTGAGAGGCAAGAGGGTGAGACGCAAGAGGGTGAGAGGCAAGAGGGTGAGACGCAAGAGGGTGAGACGCAAGAGGGTGAGACGCAAGAGGGTGAGACGCAAGAGGGTGAGACGCAAGAGGATGTTCGAAGCAAGTGAGACGGAAGAGAGTGCGAAGGAAGGGGGGGAGAAGGAAGAGGGGAGCGAAGGACGAAGGAGAGAAGGACGCGGGAGAGGAGCAAGTGGTTCACGAATGTAGTGCCTCACCCTTATCCATCTCGAGCCCCTCATTGCAGAAGCAGGTGGGAAGAGAGAGGTTGAAGAGGACAAGGGAGAGAGGGAAGAGGGCGACAGGAAAATGGAAGAGGGAAAGAAAGGAGAGAAGGATGGAGAGACAGAAGAGGGAGAGAAGGACGAGGGAGAGAAGGAGGAGAAAGAGAAGGAAAAGGTAGAGAAGGAAAAGGGAAAGAAGGAAAAAGGGAAAAGGGAAAAGGGAGAGAAGGAACGGGTGAGAGGAAGAGGGAGAGAAGGAAGGGTTGAGAGAGAAGGGGGAGAGAAGGAAGGGGTGAGAACGAAGGAGGAGAAAAGGGGTGAGAAGGAAGAGGACGAGAAGGAAGAGGGAGAGGAGCAAGTGGCTGCTACGTTACAAAATACGAGTATCGCGTATAATACGCTAGCGTATTATACGCTGGGTATATACGCGGTACGCCATGGCTAGCGTACTGCTGATACACAAAAATACGTCGGGCGCGCAGGTGAAACCTTTTTCTAGGGCAGGGCTAAAAAAACCTGCTTCAGGGGGGGGGTTTAGGTCTCACAAAAAAACATGTCAAATTATTACGTCATAAATTTCCAGAAATACATTTTTTGGGCTACTTCTCCCCATACATCCTCACCCTCTAGCTAGCTTCACCAGAACCTATTTCCTTGGGGGGCTTTTCCACCACCACCCCTTCCCCGTACTCATCCGTCAGAACTGCATCCTCTCCTTCCGCCCCCAGCATTTCATCCATGTTATGGCCGGGGGGGATAGGGGCATCCAGGATGTTACTGCCCCCAACGTTGTTGTACCAATTGCGCACAACGTTCCAGTTGTGCGCAATGTAAATGAGGTCCGCACACTTGGCGGACCCGAGCCGGTTGCGGCGGGCGGTGTGGACGCCTTTCCACTGCGCCCAGCCACGTTCGCATGGGGAAGCCGAGACGGGTCGAGTGAGCACCCGGCATGCAAGGGTGGCAAGCTCCGGGTACTCGTTGTTGTGCCACGACCACCACTGCACCATGCTCATCCCCCCCTTCTTCACTGCCTCCCTTGCAGTAATGACGCTCGGCCTACCAAAACTGCCCTCCATGTCGATGTAGGCCAGCAATGCCTCCTGCAGCACAAGTGAGGCGCGACGAGGGGCGCCAACCTTGCCACGCCTGAAGGTGACGTTGTCGTAGTGGCGCTCAATGTACTCCTTGAACACCCGTGTGCACTCCACATCGTTCCTGAAAATTCCCTCCACCTGGTTGGCCAACAACATGCATGGGGTAGCCAAGAAAGTTTTCCCACCTGTCCTTCACAATCCAGGTAATCTTTGCCCTTTCCGCCCGAGTCAAGAAGGTGCCTGCATCGTCTAGCTTGTCATTGATGTGTTCGGTAAGCTGTAGCATGATGTCATACAGCTTGCCCATCATCCCCTTCGCCGTGGAGTCCGTGCCCCGTATGGCCTTGATGACAGCTCCATGAGAGAAAGGCAGCCACCCCCCACCACTCCTCATCCATCACGGCAGCCCTGAATTTCTCGGCTGCGGTCTTCCTCTCCCTATCCCCCACTCCCCACACCTTCCACTCGTCGCTGAGAACCATCTGCGCCAGCCCACTCCTCACCTCGCATAGCCGGGACACAGCTATGTACTGTGTCCCGAATCTGGTCCCCGCGGGCTTAAGCACCTGTTTCCCCCCCCCCCTTTTTCTTCATGAAGGCACGGATGAAGTGACGGTTGCGCACAAAGGTGATCATCTCCCCCGCCTTCTCCACGAGCCCCTTCGCCCATCCCATTTTGCCCACATCTTCCATCAATAGGTCCAAAACATGCGTGGCACATGGCACATGCTCAATGTGCGGCCATGTGCTCGCGATCTTCTTGGTGGCCGATGCATAGTTGCTGTCGCCATCAATGCAGACCGCCACCGCATTCCCCGGCCCCACCTTATCTATCACGGGGCGGAGAAGGCTGGCGATGTACCCCCCGATCTTCGACTCCATGTGGCAGTCCACCGCCTGCTCGAAAACCGCGCCGGAGTCATTGACAAGGAGTATGTTGGCCTGCGGGCCGCCACAACGGTCGGTTATTATGTCCGACAACACGGTGACACTGTCCCGCTTCCAGCTCGCGGCAACGGGGGCGAGCGCTGCCTCCATTTTCCGCCGCACTTTCTTCAAGCCCGCCCCTCCAATGTAGCTCCTCTTGGGGGGGACGTACGTACCCCTGTCCCGCGCGCGGAATGTACTGGACCGCGTAGCGGAAGACCGGATCATCCACGATGCGCTCTGGAAGTTTCAGCGCCGCGATCATAAGGCAAAGCGCGTTATCTGGGTCCTCCTTGGCGCACGTCGCCTCGTCGCCGAAAGAATCTGTAATTTTCCCCTTCTCCGCACAACCAGTGACCGCGCCCAGCACGGAGTCAAGTGCTGCAGCGCCCGCCTCTCGTTTCAAGCTCTGCTTTTCCCCCTTCTCCTCATACATGGCACACACTTCATCACACACTCCCGGGGACACCTTCTTGCAAAGTCTGTCAGCGCGTTTCTCCTGCCCTTTCCATTTGGCGAGGTGAACTGCGCAGCGAGTGGTTCCGCCCTAAAAGTGGAAGTCACAAAACTTACACATCTTGGGAGTGCCTTTGGAGTGGTACGGAATAAGAAAATGTGGGTTCGAAAGGCCAGCCTCGACAGGCTCCTTGTTGATCTCACTACTGGACGCGTGAACAGAGGCTACATTGCTCGTCGCAGTAGGAGGGGTGGAGTTCGACGCCATGGTGCGCGACTACAAAACGATAGATAGCCTGAGGAAAAACGGGAGAAGTGAGCTGCGGGAATGAAATTGAGGAGGAGAATCGAATGAATGATAGGAAGTCGTCAACCAGTGTCAGATGACGTGCTGAACATTTGAGAGGGGTGGTTGGATATAAGAGGTTTGGTGGGGTGGTGTGTGGTTGGGGTGGTGGGAGGTTTGGATTCCGAAATTTGACTTTCAAAAGTGGGTTGGGCGATGTGCGTGGTTGCGGTAACAATTCGCGAAGTCGCAAAACCGTCGCATTTTTTTTCAATTTCATTTTTTATTTTGCCGGGCTGCCCGGGCGTATTTTCAGGAATCCCAAGCGTGTTAGCGTACCACGTACATACGCAAGCGTATGTACGTGGTACGCCACCCTGTCCAAGGCGTATTTAGCAACGTAGAGTGGCTGACCAATGCAGTTCTTCTCCTTGGAATCCAGCTCATAGCCGTCATTGCAGACGCAAATGTTGTCGACGTCGTTGCAGGTAGGCATGAGCACAAGGGCGAACACCTGAACAGTTTTTTTTTTTTTTTTTTTTTTTTTTTTTTTTTTTTTTTTTTGCCGGAAGTGTTCGGGGCGAACATGTTCGGTGTTTGCCCGAACATGTTCGTGTTCGGTTCGCCGCGGCTAGCCAAGCTGCGCCGAACACAAACATGTCCTTGTTCGCCTTGTGTTCATGGCATTTTAGGGAAGATATTAGCGAAGAAAACTAAACTTCACGCACCATAGAATCTCCCCTTGTTGAAATAGACGCCCATGCCATAACTAGAAGCCCTTTGAAAAGTCGAGCATGAACATGTTCGCCAAGAACATGTTTGTGCTCGAGGCGAACATAGGGGTGTTCGCCCCTAGAGGCGAACACACGAACACCATTTTCTCAGAAATGTTCGTGGCGAACCAAACACTGTTCGGTTCGGCCAGGTCACATGTTCGCCCAGGGCGAACACGAACATGTTCGTGTTCGCCTCTTGCTCAAGCCTAGCTGCAGGTGGAGTTGATCGGACACACCTTGCCCCCGCATCTGGGGGCCGCGGCTGCATGTAGCAGTGCAGGGACGAGCAATGGAGGGCGTAAGACAGCAAGCTTTGGTGGCCCAATGATTGAGAGCGGCGCTCATGAGGAAGAGGGTGAGAAGGTAGAGGCTGAGGAGGAAGGGGACAGAAGGACAGAGAGAGAGAAGGAAGGGGGAGAGAAGGAAATAGGGTAGGAAGGGGGAGAGAAGGAAATGGGGTAGGAAGGGGGAGAGAAGGAAATAGGGTAGGAAGGGGGAGAGAAGGAAATAAGGTATGAACGGGGAGAGAAGGGAATAGGGTAGGAAGGAGGAGAGAAGGGAAGAGGAAAATAAGGGGGAGAGTAGGAAGAGGGAGTGATGGAAGAGGGAGAGGGGGAAGAGGGTGAGGGGAAAAAAAGGTGAGAAGGAAGAGGGAGAGAAGAGAAGGAAGAGGGAGAGAAGAAGAGGGAGAGAGGGAAGAGGTAGAGTAGGAAGATGGTGAAAAGGAAGAGTGTGAGAAGTATGCATTTTGAAGTTTATATCTCAATTCAGCCCCATAGCAGTAAGCTATCAAACAGTAATTCATTTATGAGAAGTGGCGTGCGGCCATGGATGCGGAGCTGAAAGCACTAGAGTCACGGGACACATGGGTTCTTGTAAATCGTACAGCAGTGAAGGGGAGGAGGGTGCTAAGTGAGAAATGGGTTTTTCGCCTTAAAATTGTCGTCGACGGAACTATCGAGTGCTTCAAGGCACGATGGGTCGTACGCGGCTACGACCAGCGCTACGGCATCGATTTCGACCAAACCTTCGCACCCGTCAGTCGTCATGCCTCTGTGAGAATCCTGCTCACAATCGTTGCCGCTAAGCATCTACCACTGCTGCAGATCGACGTCAAGAACGCGTTTCTATACGCGTTGGTCGATGCAACCATCTTTGTGGAGCAGCCACACACCTACGGGGAAGGAGACCCTAGGGTCTGCCAGCTGAAGAAATCTCTTTACGGGATAAAGCAGGCGCCGCGTCTCTGGCAGCAGCACCTGCACAAGATACTCCTAGACATCGGCTTCAGGCAGCTGCCGCACGACCCGGGAATGTACCGCCTTCACTTCAACGGCGATTACATCCTTCTGACAGTTTACGTCGACGACCTACTGTACACTGGCACCTGCAACAAGCTCCTCAATCAGAGAATAACCTAGCGCAGCGCGTTGACATCACCACTAATCACAACGTCACCCAGTTTCTGGGCCTGAACATCACCTACGCGCCAGAAGCAATTCATCTGTCAGCCTCCAAGTACGCAGAGCAACTGGGAGAGCGCTTCAAAATCTCGCCCGCACTACTCTCAACTCCCTCTCGCACCCCCAGCACCAACTACAAACCAGACAACAAACCTCTGTCGCCCGCAGGACTCCAACTGTACCAACAGCAACTGGGTTGCTTACTGTTCGCCTCTGTCACCTGCCGACCCGATCTTTCATACATCGCCAGCCAACTGGCACAGCACTCTCGCAAGCCAGTAGCTGAGAACCAGCTGGACCTGGAGCACGCCCTACAGTACTTTATCTCCACGCTTGGCATCGGGCTCCACGCTGACAACGATCTCCTTCAATCTCACCGGCTACGTGGACGCAGACCATGCCGCTGGTCCCGCAAATCGCCGGTCACAAACCGGTTTTGTCTTTTGATTGGAGCCAACATGTCAAATCTCCTGGAATTCACAAAAGCAGGAACTGGTTGCCCTGTCATCGGCTGAAGCAGAGTACATCGCCGCGACAGCAGCTGTTCGCGAAGGGCTCTACCTGCAAGAGCTGCTGCAGGAGGCAAAAATCCCAACTTCGTCCACCTTTCGCCTTTACTGCGACAACCAGAGCGCCTTCAAGATCGCGAACAACCGGGGTTTGTGAACCGCACGAAACACATCGTGCTCCGATATTTTTTCTGTCAAGGACGAAATTGACCAGGGCAAGGTTGACCTCGCGTGCTGCCCCACCACCGAGATGGCAGCCGACTTCCTCACCAAGCGCCTGCCACGTCAGCAGTTCAAGCACTGCTCCAACCTCACGGGAGTAGTCAAACAAGTTAGCCCCCTGCGTGTCCAGGAATGAAGGGGAGTGTTACGATATGAAATTCAATGAGAAGGCATTCCTGTACGCTGCAAGATCCAACTCTACCGAGTACGAAGTCGAGAAGTTAGAAGTGTTGGAAACAATGAATCTTAAGCGCCTCTGTCGTGTCGAAACACTATGGCACAAGCGAAGCGAAGCATATCGAAACACCGGCGAGTCAACCCTCGGAGGTTGAAAGTAACTGTTGGAGGTTACGCGAAAGTCAAAGGTCAGCGACCTTTGACCTGACAAATACAGCGCGACAGCAAGGACACACAACTGACTCGCTACAGAGCGGTTGCCCGAGTCGTCACTGTATCGAATCGCAACAACAAACAGTAAAGTAGTTATAACTGTATCTCTTCCTTGTACTCTTATATAAATGCTTGTATCTCTTTGTTTTAATCAATCTACTTTGCCCTCACATACCAGCGCAAGGTGGTTCAGAGTCTCTTCATTAAACGCTTCCGCTATTACATCATCTCTACCCAGAGTTTACCCTTGCAAAAGATCCTAAGGGCTATCTCAGCCCAACATGGTATCAGAGCAAGAGTTCCAATCCTTGGAACCTGTGGTAATTTCTACAAATGGGCCCACCACCTGAATCATCACCAGGAGCATCTCCTGGAGCAATATCGACCTGCCACTTCCCACGGAGCACTACGTGGAGGAAATCTTCAAGACGACGTCGCATCATTTTGGGCGACTCGGCAAGACGCATTTCAAGGCGTCCCGGCAAAGTCCCTGGCAAGTACTTTTCAACTACAACCCGGCAAAACTGCAGCTCTCCTCGTTTCTACACTTCTAACAGTGGAGGGGAGTATTGAGAATATGTTTTACGATGTTTACTGTAAAGTGCACTGTTTGAAGTGTACTAGTGGGGCTTGCCATATCGAGTGTTTCCTGCCCCAAGTATCGAGTCAACGGGGCGCAACCGAGCACAGCGTTTGCGACACTCGTGGCAGCTGAAGAGTCGAGCTGCACAGCGAGGTATCGTCTACAGTACGCGAAACTGACCTGCGGGGCGCGGCAGGATACCGCGCCCTCGCCGGAGATGAACAGTCTCGCCATCTCGACTGTAACAAGGCAACCCAAGCGACGCAGCGCAACTGTTATACAGTTGCGCTATGGTAACTGTTTGCCCTATCTGTTTCCTATATAAATCAATGTATTGCCATGCTATTATCACACAATTCCCAAGCTTGTGTCCGGCCTACCCTCGGCCGCCGCTTTGGCACCAAGTTACAAGCCAGGAGAGCTACCTCTGAGTGACCATTGCCCCGCCGTAGGGACGTCGTTATCTTCCTAGAGCTTCCGCTGCGCTCTAGCGACTTATTGTTTCCAACATGGTATGAGAGCTCACAAGGGAAACTCAACTACTATCAAGTCATCACAAGACATGGCAACACAAAAGGAGAGGAACTCTTCTAACGGCTCCCAGGGTACTACTCCTACTCCACCTCCTGCTTCTGACCTACAGACAGAGGAGGGTACGGCAACCAAGGGGAACATCAAAGAAGGCTCTACTCTACTCAAACCCGCCGGCATACGCGACTACCAAAGGAAACTAGGCTGCCTTCTCTTCGCAGCCGTCACCTGCCGTCCGGATCTATCATACTCCGCAAGCCAGCTAGCAACCTACCTGAAGAAGCCTCAAGCAGAACATCTGGCAGAGCTCAACCGCGCTCTCCACTACCTCGTCAGCACTCCGACGATCGGCCTAACATACCACAAGAACGCAACTACAACGCCTAAGCTAATCGGCTATGTCGACGCCGATCACGCCGGCGACTCCGACAACAGGCGCTCGCGCACCGGCTACATCTACCGCTTCGAGCCTATCGGTCCTATCTCCTGGCAGTCAAGTAAGCAGGAATTAATCGCCCTCTCATCAGCTGAAGCAGAATATATCGCACTCTGCTCAGCCACCAAGGAAGGACTCTATCTTCGCGAATTACTGGAAGAAGCAAAATTGGCCCAGTTACCAAGCTTCACCCTGTTCTGCGACAACCAGTCGGCAATTCGCATCGCCAACAAGAACGGCTTCGCGAACAGAATGAAACACATCGCACTGCGCTACTTCTTCGTGAAGGACGAGATCGAGAAGGGGAGACTCGAACTGTCATACTGCCCCACGTCCGAGATGGCAGCTGACTATTTGACCAAGAAGCTCGGAAAGCAGAAATTCGAGTACTGTATGCTGCTGACTGGACAGAGCCACGTCATCAGCAGCGACACTCCAGAAGCGAAGGGGAGTGTTGGAAACAATGAATCTTAAGCGCCTCTGTCGTGTCGAAACACTATGGCACAAGCGAAGCGAAGCATATCGAAGCACCAGCGAGTCAACCCTCGGAGGTTGAAAGTAACTGTTGGAGGTTACGCGAAAGTCAAAGGTCAGCGACCTTTGACCTGACAAATACAGCGCGACAGCAAGGACACACAACTGACTCGCTACAGAGCGGTTGCCCGAGTCGTCACTGTATCGAATCGCAACAGCAAACAGTAAAGTAGTTATAATTGTATCTCTTCCTTGTACTCTTATATAAATGCTTGTATCTCTTTGTTTTAATCAATCTACTTTGCTCTCACATACCAGCGCAAGGTGGTTCAAAGTCTCTTCATTAAACGCTTCCGCTATTACATCATCTCTACCCAGAGTTTACCCTTGCAAAAGATCCTAAGGGCTATCTCAGCCCAACAAGAAGTACCATGTTTATAAACATGGGTACCACCCACGCTAAACATGGGTCAGCATAATTTTGTTGACTTTTGGCGACCTGCGTGCAGCCCTTCTCTAGAATCAATCAGGCATCCCTATTACACACCCCCCTTTCACCTTGAAGGTTTTGAGGAAATGGTTTTAAAAATCTGTTATCCAAACAGGCACGATACCATTGTTCTAACGAAATTATTGCACCTTGAGTCATACAGATCAAAATCACAATATTCCTTCAAACAGGTCAGTCGAACTCCAAAGCCAGTGACTAGCCTCTGCTACACTTCCAGTATGGATTTGGACTCCCAAAAATGGAGCGAGCTTCTCAACTACTAGTATGTTAAATGTTATAGCCTATTGTGGGTCATGCTATATGGGGTATGAACAGTTAGGGTTAGGCATATGTACCCCAACCCAATCAATGTTACTCATTCCGCTGTATTTTGTTTCTAAGATGGTATCAGCAGTAGGTTAGAGGTTTAGGGTCTGGAAGAGTCTGGCGCCGGTGCTGGTGCCACTGGAGGCACCACGACTGGGGGTGCGGGTACACCTCCTACAGGTACTGGTCGTGCTGCCGCGGGGGGTACTCGCTCTGGGGGTGCTCAGCCGGGTCCTGTCGAGGGTGGAGCCGGTTCTTCTTCGTCGTCTCCTGACACCACTCCTCCTCCTCACCCCTACCCGACTCGACACCAGGCCCGTCTTCGTCTTGAGCGTGAGGAGCAGCAGCGTTTGGAGCGTGAGAGGTTGGAGGTTCAGCAGCGGGTGGAGCGTGAGAGGTTGGAGTTGCAGCGAGAGCAGCAGCAGCAGCAGCAGCAGCAGCAGTCGGACCAGCCTCCGGCACCTGTTTCTGGCCTTCGGGCCCTTGGTCTCCCCTCCTCCTCTCCTCCTGTGTTCGGTCCTACGTTTCCTCCTCCGGACTCCACTCCGGCTGTCTTCCCTCGTTCTCAGTCTCCTCCGTCCCCCCCTCCTCTCGCCCACACTTGGGCCTCTCGTCCTCCTCGTGCTCGTCCCTCGTCCCCTGTCACTGACCTCCGTACCGTGTTGTTTCGTCCTAGTCCTCCTCGTTCTCCTCCGTCTGTCCTTCCTCGTCCTCCTGAGTCTTCCCTCACTGCCTCCCTGTCCACTCCGGTCACTGACTACTACCGCACGTACCGCCCCACTCTCTCTCGTGTTCTCGCCTCTCTTGTTACCGACCCTCGTGCCTCTCCTTCCTCCGTCGCGGTCCTCACTGCCGCTGTCACTGACTTTACTGCTACGCGTTGCCTTGACTACGCCACTCGTGTTGTGGCCGCTCCTCCTGTCCGTCCTCTGTCCGCCGGGGGTGAGTCTGCCCTTGGCTGTGACGTCCTAGAGGACAGACAGTTTGAGCTAGAGTTCCTGGCAGCTGCTTCGCCTCATCTCTGTGCCATGCTGCTCACTCCTGAGGGAGACCCCGATGCTCCTGACATACCTACTCCTCGCACTTACGCTGAGGCAGTGTCAGGGCCTTGGGCCTCTCAGTGGAGAGCTGCCATGGACGCAGAGATGGCCTCCTACAGGTCCACAGGCACTTACGTTGACGAGGTTCCCCCCCCAGGGGCGAACATCGTTGACGGCATGTGGATCTTCAAGGTGAAGCGGCCGCCGGGATCTCCCCCAGTCTTCAAGGCACGCTACGTGGCTAGAGGGTTCAGTCAGCGCGAGGGAGTTGACTTCTTTCAGACCTTCGCGCCCACCCCGAAGATGACCACTCTTCGGGTGTTACTGCACGTAGCAGCGCAGAGAGACTACGAGCTACACTCTCTTGACTTCTCCACTGCCTTCCTCCAGGGCCGCCTACACGAGGAGATCTGGCTGCGTCGTCCTCCGGGCTTCACTGGCACTTTCCCGCCTGGGACCCAGTGGAGCCTCAGACGACCGGTCTACGGTCTCCGCCAGGCACCCCGTGAGTGGCACGACACTCTCCGCTCTACTCTCTCCGACCTCGGGTTTCAGCCGTCTTCCGCCGACCCGTCGCTGTTTGTTCGTCGTGGGCGCACACCTTTCTTCGTTCTGGTCTACGTTGACGACTTGGTTTTTGCCACACCCGACTCAGCTGCACTGGCGGAGGTGAAGTCCGAACTGCAGAAGAGACACACCTGCACTGACCTTGGGGAACTGCGCCGCTACCTTGGCCTGCAGATCTCCAGGGACAGAGCCGCTCGCACCATCACTCTGACTCAGTCACACATGGTGCAGCAGGTCCTTCAGCGGTTCGGGCTTCAGGACTCTTCTCCTACACCCACTCCTCTTGTCGTAGACCACAGACTCACTGGGCCTTTTCCTGACGAGCCGTTCGAGCCCAGTGGTCCCTACGCAGAGCTGGTGGGCTGCCTCATGTACCTGATGACGTGCACTCGCCCGGACCTCGCCTTCCCTCTTAGCATCCTGTCTCGCTTTGTTGCGACTGGGAGACACCGTCCTGTTCACTGGGCGGCGGCTAAGAGGGTGGCGAAGTACCTTGGCGCGACATCAGGCATGGGGCTTGTACTTGGAGGGACACAGCCAGTTGTACTCACCGGTCACTGCGACTCCTCCTACGCCGACGACGTTGAGACTCAGAGGTCTACGCAGGGTTACTGTTTCAGCCTGGGTTCTGGAGCTGTTTCGTGGAGGTCTACTCGGTCCTCCTCGGTTGCGACTTCTACCGCAGAGGCCGAGATCTACGCTGGGGCCCTTGCTGCTCAGGAGCTACGCTGGTTGACCTTTTTGCTCACTGACCTTGGTGAGCGGCCGAGCTCTGCACCGACCTTGTTTGCTGACAACAGGGCGATGATTCTCCTGTGTCGTGAGCCTCGACTGGAGAGCAGAGTGAAGCACATCGACGTCAGGTACTTCCTCCTTCGAGAGTTGCAGAGACGCGGGCAGGCTCGTCTGGACTTCGTGGCCTCCGAGGCCAACACTGCAGACATCTTCACCAAGGCTCTTCAGCCTTGTGACCACCGCCGGTTCTGTCTGCAGTTGGGCCTCGTTGAGACTGGGTCGAGTAGACTGCAGTAGTGAGTGCTTGTCTCTTGTCTTTGCTTGTACTGTATATATTTGCATATACACTCTTGAACTGGCCTTGTGGCCGCTGTTTGCGCTCAGACTGTGTGGTGACGTTGTGATCCACCCTGAGCTTTGTTTTGTCTTTTGTTTGTGACTGGTCTTGTGACCTTAGGTTGCGTTTCTTGTTGCTTGGCATTCCCCACTTAGGCTATGGGGGTGTGTCAAATGTTATAGCCTGTTGTGGGTCATGCTATATGGGGTATGAACAGTTAGGGTTAGGCATATGTACCCCAACCCAATCAATGTTACTCATTCCGCTGTATTTTGTTTCTAAGATAGTACCATTCCATCTCATCCATACCAGCTCAGCAATCAACTCATGGCAGGCAAAACAAAAAGCTCCAAGAAGACCAAACCCACTGGGTGGCGCCAGTGAGTGATCCTTCACCCACGTGGAAAGGGGAACCGTGGGCCACGCGGATACAGCGGGCCAGCAGTGTGAGCGTGCCCTCCCAGAGGCCCACCTCTGTGTCCTGCAGCCCCACCAGGCGGCCCAAGCACAGGCCTTACTCCTTGTGGGCCCAACCTTTGCCCTGCCATCCCTGCCCCGCCCATCCCACCCATGCCTGCAACACTGCCCACTCCCCCTATCCCCATCCCCTGGCCCATACCCACGCCTGGGCCTACCCCGGCAATGCCTTGACCTGCCCCCAAGCCCACCCCTCCTCCAGCCACCCCACTGGGCTGCGCAGCAGCAGAAGTCGAGGAGTACCAGCCAAGGCCAGATGCGAGGGGGCGCAGTGTGAGCGACGGCACTGCTGCTGCTGCTGCTGCTGCTGCTCAGGGGTTGCACGGGTGCACCCACGTGCTGGCCTGCCCGCTGGTGGGCGGGCGTGTGAGGGCTGGGCGCTCGCACATCAGGGGGGCCGCGTGCAGGGAGGCGTTGCTGGGAGAACTGAGGGAAGGTGGAGGGCGGAGGGGCAGAGCGGAGGAGGTGTGATGGGCGCGCTGGCATGGAGTGCTGTATGGGGGAGGTGTTGAACCTCCCAGGAGGAGGACCGAGGCGGGGGGAGGGGCCGATGGGTGGGGAGGCGCGGAGGGGAGGGGAGAAGAGCACAGAGGGGCGCATTTGAGGCGTGAAGGGGGAGGGCGGGCCAGGGCGGGGGTGCACAAGTGGGGGGGATGGGTGGTGCAGCATGCGGTGGGGAGGAGGACCTGCGCGGCTCGGGGGGGAGCTGAGGAGGGCGCGGTGGGGAGCGCGGGGGAAGGGCGGCCCCAACGCAGCAGGGCCCATGCCCATGCCCATACCCCTGCCCATGCCTATGGGGGGCATGGGGCGCATGGGTGGGCCCTGGGGGAAAGGCCGGTGGAACTGCTGCTGCTGCTGCCGCTGGTGTTGGTGGTGAGGGAGGAGGGGCGCGGAGGTGAAGGGGCGGTTGGCGGTGATGGCGGTGGCCTGCAGCAGGCGCTGTGCCTCAAAGCGGTCGCGGTCCACTATGCGGTGCGCCTGGGGGCGCGGCAGTGCGGGGTACAGCACCTCGTCAAACACGTCCCGCCCCCGCGACTCCGCTGCTGTCAGCGGCAGCACAAAGTTGGCTGACCAGGTGCATGGGGCCGGGGATGAAGGGGAACGGATTGAAGTTGGCGCGGGGGGGATGGGAGGGGGGGTGGAAAAGGTGATTAATCAGCAGCTGAATGCAGTTTCAACTGCTGGACAAGAATGCATTGGAGTGGACAACTCAAGAGTCATGTGCTCTGCTGTAGGGACGACCTAAGGCGAGGAGCTAAGAGGAGGCCTTAACGCACCTTTCATCTCCTGCACTGCGAGAAGAGGCACCTCCTTGCCCGTCTCCTTGGTGCGACGATCACTGCGCCGCCTCCACTCTGTGTACGTCAGCACCACCACCACCGCCACCTGCACGAGGGATGTGCACGCATGCACACATGCACACATGCACACATGCACACACGCACACACGCACACATGCACACATGCACACATGCACACACGCACACACGCACACACGCACACACGCACACACGCACACACGCACACACGCACACACGCACACACGCACACACGCACACACGCACACACGCACACACGCACACACGCACACACGCACACACGCACACACGCACACACGCACACACGCACACACGCACACACGCACACACGCACACACGCACACACGCACACACGCACACACGCACACACGCACACACGCACACACGCACACACGCACACACGCACACACGCACACACGCACACACGCACACACGCACACACGCACACACGCACACACGCACACACGCACACATGCACACATGCACACACGCACACACGCACACACGCACACACGCACACACGCACACACGCACACACGCACACACGCACACACGCACACACGCACACATGCACACATGCACACACGCACACACGCACACACGCACACACGCACACATGCACACACGCACACATGCACACATGCACACACACATGCACGCACGCACGCACATGTGCACACACACATGCACGCACGCACGCACATGCACACATGCACACACACATGCACACATGCATGCACACATGCGTGAGAGCATGAACTACATGGGAGCGATTGCGGCAATGGAAGCAGCAGCTCATACGAAAGAGGGACACGAATCCATGCCATCAGGCTTCAGATTCACTCCATGCCATATTGTCTCCCTTACCATACCAACTCTCCCCTTTCCCTTCTCTTCCCTTCCCTTCCCCAACTCTTCTTTCCCTCCTCTCGCAACAACCCACAACCCCCCTCTCCCTCCCCTTCCCCCTTTCCCTCCCCCCCCCCCCTTCTCCCCTCCCCCCCCAGTAGCGCACCTTTTTGAAGAGGTGGAAGGGGCGCAGCTTGCGGCGGCGGGCGTGGGCGTACACGTTGGTCTGGTCCAGGATGTAGTTGCGCGGCAGCGCTGCAGCGCGCTCCACCAGCTCGCCAAACACCTGCGACGCCATCGGCATCAGCGCCGCCCACCGCTGCCCGTACCCCTCCTCGCTCCGCTCGCCCTGCTTGCCTGGCCCACCTGGCCCCTGCACGGCCGAGCGGAACAGGTTGTGTGGGTGATGAGGGGAGGGGAAGCGGAGAGTGTAGGAAGGGAGGAAGTGAGTAGTCACTTACAAGGATTTCAATTTCAAGGTGATTCACAGTGGAGCATAGCAGGATTGGATGTGGAGCGGCACAGCAGAGAGGTGGGAGGGGTGAGGGAGGGTAGGAGTGGGGTGGGAGAGGGTATGGTGTGAATCAACAAGAATTTTCAAACCATGCGAAAGTCACTTCCCCACCCCCCCCTCACCATCTCCCCGCACAGCACCACCGTTATCCCTTTCAACCCCCCTTTCTCCCTCCCTCTCTGCTCCACCCTCCCCCTTCCTCCCTCCCCCCAAGTGCCCCCCTGTGAGCACCTGCATGAGGGACAGCACGCGGTCAGTGCCCAGCACCACATAGCGCTTCTCGGGGTGTGCCCTCGCCCTCTCCGCCGCCCACGTGGACTTGCCGCTCCCTGGCAGCCCCACCATCATCACCACCTCGCACTCCTCCCTCTTGCCCAACGCCGGCCCCGCCACACGCACCACCACGGCCTCTCCCCCCGCTTCACTTGCTCCCGATGCTCCACCCCCCTCCCCCTCTGCTTCTGCCCCTGCCCCTGCCCCTACCTCTCCCTCTGCCCCTGCCCTCTGTGAGCCCTCTGCGGCCTCGGACCGATCGCCGCTCTCCCCATGCCCCGCCTCCGGCTTCGCCGCTGTCTCCCCACTGCTCTGGGCCGCGGCAGCGGCGGGCATGCTTGTAGGGGCGGTGGTAGCGAGGGCAGCGCTAGCCTCGGGAGGGGCGGCGCAGGGCGGGGAGAGGAGGGGCGCGTCCGACCAGGGCAGGTACCCCGGGGGGGGTGAGAGGCCATCCGCTAGTGAGAACTGCAGGCGCACTGCGGAGAGGGGGGAGGGGGAGGGGAAAAGGGCCAGGAGGAGGGAGGAGACGGAGGCAGCATGAGTAGCAGCGAGCACGTGGATGAGGTAAGCGAAGGAGGCGAGGAGGACATGCACGAGGGGCAGGAGGGAGGGAGGGAGGGAGAGAGAGAGAGGGAGGGAGGGAGGGAGGGAGGGAGGGAGGGAGGGAGGGAGGGAGGGAGGGAGGGAGGGAGGGAGGGAAGTGCAGGGTGAGCAAGGGGCACGGCGCCCCGCATTACCTTTGACGTTCTTCACGAGCACATGGGGGAAGAGCGCTGCTCCCACCCACGCATGCCCGCCCTCCACGCCACCACCACTCACGCTGTCTTCCCCCGTGGCATCACCAGCACCACCCGTGCCACCCACCCCTCGCCCCTGCTCGCCACCATCCACCTCCATTACTGTGCTCTTGCCCTTCTCCCCCTCGCCCACACCCCCTCCCTCTCTCGTCCCCTCCTTGCTTTCCTCCCCTCCCTCCTTGGCCTCCTCCCCTTCCTCCTCCTTCCTTCCCTCTCCGTCCTTCTCTACTCCCTCTTTCCCCACCTCCTTGCCCTCCTCCTTTCCCTCCTTGCCCTCCTTCTTTCCCTCCTTGGCCTCTTCATCCCCTTCCTTGCCCTCCTCCCCTCCCTCTTCCCTCTTTTCAACCGTTCTATCCGTTTCTTTCTTCCCTTCCCCTTCACTGGTCTCCCCTCCCCCCACCTCTTCCCCTTTTCCCCCACCCCCTCCAGCCGCCACTTCCCCATCGCCCTCCGCCCGTTTAACCTCCACTGCCACACCATCCCCCCCTGCTTTACCCTCCTCCGCTTTCCTTTTCTCCTCCACATCCACCACCCCTTCCCCTTTCCCCACAACAGCGCCCACTCCTTCTCCACCCTCCCGCGCCTCAGCACTCCCCATCTCTCCTACTCCCCCACCCCCGGCCCCCTCGTCCCCTTCCCCCCCTCCTCCCCCTTCTGCCAGCTCCGCAGCGCTCCTCAAAGGCGGGAGGCGGAAGGCCTCGCCAAGCCAGGCGCCATTGAGGGCGAAGGCGAGGGCGCGCGCAGGCAGGTCCACGGCGCACAGCACCACGTCCCCGCGCGCCCAGGGGCGCGCGTAGGGGGAAACCACGCCCCCTGCGACCTTCTGAACGGCGGGTGAGGTAAGGAAGACCGGAAGTGGGAGGGGGAGAGGGGGAGAGGGGGAGAGGGGGAGAGGGGGAGCGGGGGAATGAGGAGATGCGAGAGTGACAGATGCAGGGCAAGAGGGTGAGAAGGATGAAGACTGGACAACGCAAGGGGGGCTCATGACGCCATCGCTGCCCCCGTCCCAAACCCCTTACCCCTCTCCCCCTCCCCTCCCCAAGTGCTCGTCGCCATCTCTGAGACCCCATTCGCCTACTGCCCTACCGCCCTTCCTCGTACCCCGCTCCTGCCTCCCCGCTCGCCGTTCCCCGCGCCTCTCCCCTCGCCGCTCCCCTACCGCGCCCAAACCCGCCTTCTCCTGCGCCTCTGTCCTTTTCCCCGTCTTTCCTCCGCACACCACCTACCTTCCCACTGCTGCAGTACGCGAAGCTGCCACGTGTCTCTCCCAACGACTCCACGTCAGTATCCAACGTGGACACGCCTACCCGACACATATATCTCTCTTCCTCCGGAATTCCCACCACCGCCTCCCCGCCCGTGCCCCCTTGCGCCTTGTCAGCCGCCGCTGCTGCCCCTCCCGGGGCTGCCGCGCCCGCCGCCCCTCCCCGCAGCACCCGCGCGTCCAGCGCCTGCTCCTCCTCCACCACACACGCGAAACAGTACCGCCCGCCGCCGCCGCCGCCGCCGCCGCCATCATGCGCACTCGCCGCTCCAGCCTCGGCCGGCCCCCTTCCTTCCGCCGCTTCTCCCCCTTCGACTTGCGCTGTCTCCCCCGCCTGCGCCGCGCGCGCAGCAGCATCAGCGTCCGCTGCCCCCGAGGCTGATGCGGGGGTGGCGGAAGGCGGCGAGCGCAGCGCGATGCCGTAGTTGGCGCGCGCGCCCGACCACATGTACGCGAAGCCGCCGTGCGACAAGCCCGCTCCCAGCAGACCACGATCTGATATGGCGAAATCTGATTGGCGGGAGAAACGATGGTGCGCGGGAGAGACGCAAGAGAGGGGGCAGGGAGAGACAGGGAGAGGTGAGAGCCGTGGCAGGGGTCGCAAGAGACGGCACCCGCAGCAGTCTTATCACGCACCGATGCTGCAGTCTGCGGGGTTTAGAGCCACGGCCGTTGGATCATCCGGCATAGCGGCCTCCTTCTTCGCAGAAGCATCGCAGCCGTTCGCTGGCTGAGGCGCATCGGCCAGGATCGAAGGGTCGGGTCTCGCCTTCTTAGCCTTGTGAACCTCGGCCTCGCCCTCGTCGTCGCCGGCGTCGCCGACGTCGTCACCAGCTGCGAGATCCACGTCGCATGCGTCGCCAAGACCGTCGTTGCCATCTCCGATATCCACGTCGCATCCTTCGCCGAGACCGTCGTCGCCATCTCCAAGATTCTCGTCGCACGCGTCGCCGAGACCGTCGTCGCCATCTCCAAGATCCTCGTCGCATGCGTCGCCGCCCCCTACCTCGAGGAGACCTTCGATCGCGTCGCACTCCACATCGCCAGGCTCGGCGTCTGCGTCGATCTCAACCGTCCCCTCCTCCAGATCCAACAGTCCGCCGTCATCTGCCGTAGCTTCCTCTTTTTCTGTCATAGCGGTGCCGTTGCTGGTCGCCATAGTGGGCCGAGCCGACTGTTTGTGAGGTGTGAGGTGATCGGCTGCTTGATGGAGAAATGGGATGAGTAGTGGATTAACGGAAAGAACCGCTGTCGTTCATCTTCGCGGAGCCTCGCTTGCGTACAGTTACCGCAAATGCTCACGAGTAGTTGTGATTTCGAGACGTAACGTTGACATCCATAGCGTTTCCGCGTTTATGTAGAGCTGAATGATTCAAGGTTGAAGCGGGAAAAGATAACTATACAAGAATATTTTATAATGGTTACAGTGAACAAGCGCTACTCCAGTTTATTGCTGTTAAATTCTACCTTCCATCTGCTGCTGCACAAGCACACCCAGCAGTGCTTTTTGCAGCTCAGCATTTCGCGTGTCTGCACCCACAGGATGCCAGAAGTGTCTTATCATGTTGCCCTCCGGCCCTGTCAATTCCAAATAAGGCAGCACCACAATCTTCTTCTTCCACTTGAGTGCCACCAGGTTCATTGGTCGCTGGTCGCCGTAATCAGGCAGCATCGCCTCGTACCACTGGTCCAAAAACTGGCAGTGGGGAGGATGCCATAAGAACCAGAGCAAGAGATTATGCCAAGGGAAGGCACCGATAGACCAAAAAAAAAGGTGGGGGGGGGGGGGGAGTTAGGAAAGTCTGACCTGTGAACTTGAGCGAAAGCAGAGGCAACATTGCATTCATCCCACCTCATTAAACACCACCACACCCCTCCTCCTCCAGCCCTCTCCCAACAGAACCCCACAGCAATTCGGGCCTGAAAGCATGCACGAGGCAGCTCACCTTAAAAGAATCAGGCGAGTGGCCGAATAGCATGACCCCCGAGTTGGCCCAGTCCTGCTCCGGGTCGTAGAGGTTCTCCGGCGCGCCATTGTACCCCAACGACCCATCGCCGTTGCGCACAAAGATAGCAAATGGGCGCTTCGAGGCAGACAAGTTTGAGGGGAGAGATGACACATTGAGAGAGAAGGGTGAAGGGTCGGAAGGCGTGGGCGATGCGGAGGGGACGGCGGACGGTGATGAAGCGGCCGCCGTAGGTACGGAAGAGGGTGCTGGTTTTGGAGTTTCAAGGATTTTCCGTGCCACGGGGGGTTGAACCGGGCTGGAATCCACTGATGCGGCTCCCTGCTGCTGCTGCTGCGCCTGCTGCTGCTGCTTATCCTGTTGCTCTTGCGCCTTCTCCTGCTCCGGTTTTTGTTGCTCCTGCGCCTTCTGCTGCTCCAGATTTTTTTGCTCCTGCGCCTTCTGCTGCTCCAGATTTTTTTGCTCCTGCGCCTTCTGCTGCTCCAATTTTTTTTGCTCCTGCGCCTTCTGCTGCTTCAATATTTTTTTCTCCTTCGCCTTCTGCTGCTCCATTTTTTTTTTCTCCTTCGCCTTTTGCAGCTCCAGTTTTTTTTGCTCCTTCGCCTTCTGCTGCTCCATTTTCTTTTGCTTCTCGTCCTGCTGTTGCTTTTCCTCCCACTTCTCTGGCAGAGGTTCCTTCTGCTGCTGCCACTCCTGCTGTTGCTGTTCCTCCTGCGGCTTTTTCTGCTCCAGTTCCTGCTGCTGCTCGCCCTGCTGCTGCTTCTCCTCCCACTTCTCGGGAGCAGGCTCCGCTTGCCACACCTGCTGCTGCTCCTCCTCGTCGTCGTCCTCGCCCTGCTCCCCCTCCCCATCGTGCGGTGTGAGTACGTCTAGAGTTCGCTCCGCGTGCACCACCTGCGCCTGCAGCCGCGAGTCCGACTTTCCCAGCAGGTAGTCGAAGTAGCCCTGCCACCCACGACACACACACGAGGGATGCGGGAGAAGCGCGAGTTTTCAGAGATGCTGCTGCTAATACCACCAGACATGCTTGGAAAGACAGAATCATGAAGTCTCGCGGTGGAGTGGAGCTAGCGTGTACTACGTAATCGACTCAACGGACGAGGGAGCGTGGTGCGGCATTCCTCATTCCGCTAGCATCCCTCGCCGCTGGCGCGGCGCGTTACTATAACCGTCATCGTCGTGTAGTAATAGCGCAGCTGGCTCACCCGTTTGCTGGCGCGCGCGGCCCAGTCTTCGACGGAGAGGCGGTGCATGTCCATGCGCATGTACGCGTCCGAGTCCACATATAGCGCCCACCGACAGCAGCACTGCAGCGCGTGCCGCAGCAGCTTCACCTGCGCGCGGCCATAGGAGGACAAATCACCGAAACAGGTTTTAGTGAGGACGAGCGCGTGAGAGAACGAAGGAAATGTTTGGAGGAGGAAATAAAGATGATGTTGAGCAACGATGTGAGAAGATCCGATTCTTCTTGTCGCGATCTCATTCCAGAGAGGGATAGCCCATCCGTTTCAAGTCACGCCTCCGCGTCGGACGCGGTAGGGCGCGCGACTCGGAAACAGCACATGGTATGTCGGTCGGTGGGTCTCCCGGAGGAGGCGCAGCCGAAAAAGTCCGACTCGGGCTTTTGCCGCTGGACAGCCCAGCCGACAACTTGTTGCACGGGGCACGGCGTTGAACGCCGCGTTTGATGCGAGACGAACGCAGATAGCAGCTAAACGACGAATAGCAGGGGGTCGTTTGAACCGCGATGCACATCGGTCGCCGATGGCCACTGGTCAAGCGCGGCGCGTGGGACGATCACGGGCCAAAGTGCGGCGCGAGGGGAGGGTAAGTGCGACGGTCCGAACGCGGCGCTCGGCACGGATGAAAAGAGTAGGAAGGACGTTGCGCGGCGGGACGCACCTTGTGCCACCTGAACCTGCGCGACGCGTTGACGCCCTCATACGACTCGAAGAAGAGGTAACCGTGCCGCTCCGCGTACAGCCTGCGATCACACGGAGAAGACATGAGTCGGAAATGTGTGGGTTGGGGTTGGTAGTCAACGGCCATCTGGCGGCACCATGATCGGCCGCTTACTGCGCGGGTTGCGATAATCATGACCACTGGGGACGGCGCCGCCGGTGGTCGCGTGATCATCATGCTGTGCGCTCTCGCACGTATTACGCTAGCATACGCACCGCACGACAGACCTTGCCAGCACGAACAACACCTGTTTCGGGCTTTACTTCTGCTTGTTTACAAGACCCATGTCCTATTACTACTACGATGATGTATGGCGTATTTACTTGTTTATAAGTCGCGACGACTCGTAATACGGCAACTGCGCGAGATCCTCTAGTGATAGTATCGGAGGCGCCGCACCCCAGCCCGCCACGGCCGCCGCAGCGGCGGGAGTGAGTCCACGTGTCGCTTCAGCGTGCGAGGAAATGGCACGGTTATCAGAGTAAAGAATGCATCCTGGCCGTAGATGCGGTGGCAAAGGATTAGAGGCATTGACATCGGGGCCCACGCTGCTCGGCTGCACCATGTCGCAAGATTCTTGTGAGACGGCGCCGCGATCCATGGCGTGGAGAAAGAAGAGTGTGACAAGAACGCTGGCGACAAGCAGCACAAGCTTGCTATCGGCCGACGCTAAGTGAATGCCCTTGGGCGAAGGAGGGAGAGACAACATCGCTGTCATTGTAATGCTAAGTGAGAAAAGAAGAAAGGATAATCCAGGAAAAGACGTTGCGGAAATGCACTCTGAACTCCCTCATCCGCAACAGAGGAGCAGGTGGTGGTGAGCCGTCTCTTGCTGCCAAAGAAACAGAGCTTGCTGGGGGAGCCTCGGGGAGAGGTAGGGGAGGTAGGCGCTGTCTGTCTGTCCAGGTTGCGCAGGCAGGTTGGAATCGGACAGCAACAGCATGTCATCGTTGAGTTGATTGAGGCGGTGGCAGCTGGTGAAACCTCCCATTCGCATTGCATTGGACAACGGACTGGTTTGGCAAGATTGGCGTTGCAGTGGCCGCGAGGGGAGGACGAGGGATTTGTCATGCCAGGAACAAAAATCAGAGCGGAACATTCATTCAGTTCCACCAAGCATTTTTATTCTGCCCGTGCTAATGACAAAGTAATTTAATTACAGAGGCTCATTAGCAGGGTCATTGCAGGATGTTTTCCATTGTTGGTGTCCTAAATGGCTTGAGTGAACATGAGGCTCCTGTGTGCCAGTCATGACCGACTGCCAGAGGAACAGCTGTAACGGGTTGGGTTTATTCTCCTAAGGGCGCGGTGCAGAAAGGTTTAGGGTAGTCGAACTTCTACACTGTTTTGAACTTGCAGAAAGTTTTGAGACGGTTAGATACATCTACAAAGTTTTTATTCACGGTGCAAAGTGGTTGAGGCTCGAACCTCAGTCAAATTGCATCAAATGCACCGCGCCCGCTGGCTCCATCTAGCCCGTCTGTCTAATGCCATACAGTACATCACATCTGGCTGAAGACAATGATCGGGTTCGGTAAATTTCCGGTGTAGTGTTTATCGAGGCCCGTGCAGGAGAACAGCGAATTCGAAGGCAAATGCACTAGTATATGAGCGAAAGAGTACAAACATGGGACATGGGACAGAGCAGGAAAACCAGCTGTAAGTCTTCGGCCTTGGCCAAACGACAGACCACCTGAAACCGGAGAGCAGAAAAACAAGCGAACATTTCCTAGAGTGGATGGATGGCCTGATGCCGAGGTCGGCCTATTGAGCACCCGAATTGGAAGGAAATTTCTTCCTGGGTACGAAAAGTCAGCTCAACTGTACAGTTCAGAAGACCCGCGCACTCATACAAATGTTCTCGATTAGAGTCCCGTTGAAAAACACACGCGCTGCGGGACTTTGTGGAAAACTCACAAACCCCGGGCAAACGGGAACCTATAGTCCCATATCAGGACATTTGCATGAAGAACGGTTTTCTTTCACTACTTGTCCTTTATTCTTGTCACATACTTACATTTGGACTGTGCTGTCTTAAAATTATCCTCGTACGGTTCGCTGCGTTGATCAATGTAGCAGAACTAACGGGCAGAAAATGCAAAGTCGAATATGTTTAAGGCCGAAATTAAAGAGATTAAATTTTGTTTTACTCTGTAAGTGATATTATTGCGATGTCATCGTCGAGCTCGCTGGGAACCGCGCGACGGGATTTCGACGAAAGCGCGGTCAA